GTGAAGTACCTCGGGCATATTGTGTCTGCCCAAGGTGTCTCTCCTGATCAGCAGAAGATTGAGGCTGTTACCACCTGGCCTCAGCCCCACGACCTAAAGACTCTGAGATCGTTCTTAGGTTTCTGCGGATACTATAGGCGATTCATTGCTAACTATGCTGCCATTGTGAGACCTCTCACTGAACTGACCAAAGGTTATGCTCCGACACAAAAGAGCAAGAAAAAGAGTCCAGACATCAACAAGTCCTACTTGAAAGAGTCAGAACCCTTTGGAGATCGGTGGGATGACGCCTGCAGCAAAGCCTTTCAGCAGATCATCCACTGCCTAACCCATGCACCAGTATTAGCCTTCGCTGATCCTACCAAGCCCTATGAGCTCCACGTGGACGCAAGCTTCAAAGGATTGGGGGCTGTCCTATACCAGCTACAAGAAGGGGACCTAAGGCCAGTTGCATTTGCCAGCAGGAAGTTAAGTCAGGCTGAGAAGAGGTACCCCATACATCAGCTGGAATTCCTGTCATTAAAGTGGGCTGTGGTTGATCGCTTTCATGACTATCTGTATGGGGCGCGCTTTACAGTGCGAACAGATAATAACCCCTTGACTTATGTTCTGTCTACGGCAAAGCTCAATGCCGTGGGACACAGATGGTTAGCTGCTTTGTCCACGTATGACTTTGATGTCCATTACAGACCAGGCAAGCATAACATAGATGCAGACATCCTCTCCAGAAACTTTGACACTGATGCTGAATGGGAGACTATACCAGAGGCAGCTGTTAAATCCATCTGCAAAAGAGTACAAGTTTCAGAAAGCCCAGGGTGTCCCACCAGATGTGTCGACCAAACCGGGGCTTCCCCGGAATGCATCCCTGACATCTATGCATTTCCTCTTACAATGGAGTTACAGTCACTGGAACACGTCTCAAAAGCTGATCTCGCTAAGGCACAGAAAGAGGATCCAGTCATTGGTCCAGCGGTCAAAGCTGTTCAACAGAATTTATGGACAGGCAACACACCGGAGCTGTCGCTCCTAAAAAGAGAGAAAGATAAGCTGACCCTGCTGAGTGACGGTCTGCTCTATCGCATCACCAAACGTCACTCAGGGGAGGAGGTCCATCAGCTAGTCCTGCCAAAGGTGTATCATGATGTTGTGTTGAGATCAGTACACAATGACTCAGGACACCTCGGCATAGAGAGAACTCTGGATTTACTCCGTCGAAGGTTCTACTGGCCCAGAATGTTGCAAGACACTGAGGACCATATCAAAAGTTGTGGTGAATGCATAACACGCAAGACTCCTGCCCAGAGAGCCGCACCGCTTCACCAGATCTCCAGCAGTGGACCTATGGATCTGGTGTGCATTGACTTTCTCTCAATGGAGACGGATTCCAAGGGCATGAGAAATGTTTTAGTGGTCACAGATCACTTCACGCGCTACGCCCAGGCATTCCCGACCAAGAATCAGACGTCTCAAACAGTGGCCAAAATCCTAGTGGATAAGTTTTTCGTCCACTATGGTCTTCCGGCTCGTATCCATTCAGACCAGGGGCGAGACTTTGAGAGTCGTCTGATCAAAGACTTGTTGAAGAACATGGGGATACGGAAGTCGCGCACTACTCCGTATCATCCGCAAGGAGACCCTCAGCCAGAGCGGTTCAATCGAACGCTGCTTTCTATGTTGGGTACTCTAAGCACAGAAAAGAAACGTCAGTGGAGCCAGCATGTCCCTTATTTGGTCCATGCTTACAACAGTACAAAATGTGATGCAACTGGTTTTTCGCCATACTTCCTAATGTTTGGCCGTGAAGCCAGACTGCCAGTGGACTTGTGCTTTGGGACCACAATTGACAAAGCTGAGGAAAGTCATTCACGCTATGTGTCAAAGCTTAAAGAAGATCTCCGTCAAGCCTACAAGCTAGCATCCGAGACGGCAGACAAAGTCCATCAGAAGAACAAAAAGGGCTATGACAAGAGAGTTTGTTTCCAGTCTCTAGAGACAGGAGACAGAGTCCTACTAAAGAACTGGGGTCTCAAAGGGAAGCACAAGTTGCAAACAAGATGGAGTCCAATACCTTACCAAGTTGTTGGAAAAATGCCCAACCTTCCTGTCTACCAACTAAAGAAAGAGAATGGGAGTGGTCGTCTGAAAACAATCCACAGAGACCATATCCTTCCTATTGGCCAACATGTGAAATTGCCAATCCCTGAAGAAGGCAATAACTGTTGTGACAGACAAAAACCAAAGGGCAAGAAACCAAAGCAGGCCACAGTTGCGTCTGACCCTCAGCTGTCACAGGATTCTGATTCGTCCTCAGAAAGTGAATACTATGAGCCTCAGAGATACTACTACACTCAAGAAAGAGTGAGAGAAGCATTAAGACAGGCTCTTAGATCTCAAGCAGTGCCACAAGAGGATTGTGCAGGAGACCAGGATGACGTCAGTGATGAAACGGATTCTGATCAGCGCAGTGAAAAGGAGGAACTGCCACTGGAGGATGAAGACGTTAATCGGGACAGTGAGACTGAGCCCGACCACATGGTGGATATTCAGGAGGAGTCTGACCAAAATGAAGAAGATGATCAAGATTCTGCCCAGAACCTGATCTGGATCCCATAACAGCCCGGTCTGCCAAAACTCAGAAACCAAATACACACCGTAATTTGTTGGGTGACACTCCTAAACTAAGGCCTAAGAGACAGATTAAACCAGTAGTTCGTTTAACCTATGATGAGCCAGGAAAAGCTAAAGATCAGCCTATCACTATTATACATAGAGGGGTTGTTATCACTATAGGCAAAGACTAAGAGCCAGAGTATGTAAAAAGGTCATCCTACTTCCCAAGTTCTTGTAGTTCCTTGGTAGTCTGTTGAGGACACCAGACATTTAGTGGGGGGAGGGTGTAACCCGGGTTTAAAAGATGCATAAATAGTAAAAGATAAGTGAAGTCTGAGAATATAAATATCAAAGAGTTCATTTATTTAAATTTTCTTGTTTATTAAAAAGGTAAAAGTTCATGTAAAATTATTAAAAACATGTTTGCATTGTTTAAAATAAGTTATCTTTCTTGTGAATTGTTTGTGAGAACTGTAATTTCCTACGGGGATAAGGTCGGTGAAGGTAACACAGGGTGGAGAAGGAAAAGGAAAAAAGAGACGAGAGCGCGAGAAGAGGTGGTGCGTGAGTTACACGGAGCATCCGGAGAAGTTAGCTTGTTTTTTATGTACTAAGAGTAAGTGTGTTTTGACTTTTTGGACAGATAAGTCACAGTGTCGGTAAGCTAGTGACATAACACGTAAAGTTTCAGCGTGAGTCTGCTGGACTGTGTGCTTTGTTTCTTGCGGCTGTGCACGCATTAAGTTAAAGTGAGGCTAACCCAGCCGTTCGCTGATAAGGACTACTGTAGGCTGCCGTTTCGCTATAGTTGTGGAACGTAACAAGCTGCAGAGGATCGTTACCGAACTGGTTAACGACGGACACACCCCAGATAGTCACTCTGAGTGCCCGCGTCACTCAGAGTACCTCTGGCAACGTGGGAAGCTAAAACAGGTAGCTTGTGGAGCACGTGGAGATCACGGACCTTCCTCATCTTTGTGCTACTGCATTCAGAGCGGAGTGTTTCTGACGGAGCTGAAGACAACTTGTTACCTGGATTAAGCTGGTGGGAATTGCACGTTTCACAAGGTACTGAGTTTATTTATTTATTTTTTGCTCGTTGAGTGAAGAACTTCCGGTTGGGAGATCGTTTTGGATTTATACTGGAGCAATACAGGCCTGCAACGTAGGGTTTATCTCTGCCGGCTTTAGGTTTAGTTTGGGACTATAATTGTTTTATCACTGGTGGTTTACACTGTATGTGTGGAGATTCTGTGTACAGTGGGTAAATTGCTGTGTGTGTTTTTGGTTTGCCTGAATACTGAAATCTGCCATTTTATTATTTTCTTGTTTTCATTGTTTGGTAAATTAAAGGAGGGTTGCAATGCTCTACTTTACATGGTGTATGACATGATTTACTGCACTATAGACACTAGTGTTAATTTTCGCGTGTAGTGCTACTGTTAAGGAATAAGCTTCATTGATCCCAGAAACAAAAGAGAAGTTAATTTAAAACATCGTACGAGAGTACACTAGAAAAAGAACCCAAAGCCCATTTATTTAATGGTATTGAGTAAATGAGGGCTACATAAACATATATAAATAAAACCACTTGTTTTTACGTTAGTAATTCCTTTTGTGCATAATTTTATATTATTGTTAATAATAAATTAATTAAAGCAACAAAACAACCTGAAGAGCCGGGTCGGAGCCGAAAGAGCCGGCTCTTTTTAGTGAGCCGAACCTAAAGAGCCGGATCTCTAAAAAGAGCCGGAAATCCCATCACTACTTGATGCGACTGTTGTTCTAATTTTGCGCCATAGAAATAAACAGAGTTGAAATAGATGTTACCGCCTTTCCATCAACGTTACCTTTGGCTCAGGTATGAGTAGAAAGAGTGACGTCGTGTCTCTTTAATCAGTCTCTGCATCTCCAAAGCAACAACGGATACACCGAGTTTAATAAATACTGAATCCGTTAATAATAATAAAAAGTTCCATAATCCAAAGTAAGCATCACATTCACATGCTCACTAGAGCTACTTATGTCTGACTGAACACTCTTAAGCTGTAATTTACCACAGACGGTATAAATCTTTAATACTGTGTGTTTCTGTTATTCACTAAACATCTGTCAACGATCAGGAAGACCTGCAGTCTCCTGGAGAGCCAACAGGGGGCGAAACCAACCCACTGAATTAACAATGGTACAGGGAGGGACGCTGGTTTGAGGGCGGAGTCCTTCACTCTGTCGTCAGTGGAAACATTATTGCTGCAGACTCCACATTAACACTGTGAGAAGCATCCAGTTTCAAAGATGCTTCGTCTGTTTCATCGTGTTTAATGTTCAAGATGAGGATGATTTACAGCCTGAATCTACTGAATGAAAGCTGAGTTAAAGTCACACTCACTCTCTTCAACAGTGCAGCTCCATGTTCATCCACAGAGTGTTTCTCTGAGGAGGAAAGACATTTACCATCAACTCTGAGGATTCAAACATCATCACACATCCAAGTAGAATCAGCCTTCAGACGACACAGATGATTTAAAAGAGAAAATCATGTGAAACTAAATAAAATGACATAAGAACCCAACAAAGAAACCCTCCATCCTGTCCAACCAAAGTAACTGGGGGTTCCCAGCTGTGATAATGAGAGAGGGTACACCTGTCCACCTCAGGTTTTAAACAGACAGACAACCTTTCACACCCACATTTAATTTAGAACCAGCAATAAAGCCAACAAGCATGTGTTTGGACTGGAAACCAGAGCACTCTGAGGAAAAGCATGCAGGCACAGGGAGAACATGCAAACTCCACACAGAAAGGTTCCAGCCAACCAGGAGGCTCAAACACACAACCTTCATGCTGTGAGGACACAGTGCTAACCACTGCACCACCATGACACCAGCAACACAAAAACCTGTTGATGACACAGAGTTTACACTCATGCATGTTGGTCTTACCTCTGGATGCTGAGCTGCTCTCTGGTAACTTCTGCACCAGATCAGTTCTGTTCATGTGCATGAAAACTTCTCTGGTCACCTCCACAGACTGATGACCAAGTTCATCCACCATCAGATTCATTATATCTGCTCTGGTTGATGATGGACTCATCCAAAGAAAAACTGACTTCAGGAATCTCTTGAACTCCTCGAGCTTGGAATTCCTCAAATCATTCGAAGCTTCCAAAAGCAGTTGTTTCACAGCTGCCACCATTGCCACCTGGAAAAGTCATTCAATTTGCAGGACATTTATTTATTTATCCATTTTATCCAAATAAGGTCTTTTAGAAAGTTCAGTATGATTTCTCATAATCACAAAAAAGCAGAAATCATGAGAAAAATGACTCAACATGAGACTTTCAGCCTGCTGTCTTGTACTGAATCAGAGATGTGACATGACTCACTTTGTGGATCAGTGCAGAGCGTCGTTCATCCACAGAGTGTTTCTCTGAGGAGAAAAGTGCTCAAAGTCACTCCCAAGAGACTTACTTACCAACTGACAGTTGTATAATCTTCAACATTACATTTAAAGCTCAACTATGATAGACACTGTTTGTGTTATTCAGTCTCTCAGACTGAAGGAGTCACTTTTTGTCATTTTTTTGTTCCTTGAACACTCATAAATTCTGATTTGGACAACAATCTGTCTTTTCTCTACAATATTTTTATGAAAGACAAAAACTTTACTTATGAGACATCTTAACCACCATAGTTCATTTAACTTATTTCCTCTTTGTTGTCTTACTTTTGGGTTCTGGGCTGCAGTCTGACGGCCTCTGAGCCAGATCAGCCCCCTTCATCTCGTTTAAACCCTCCATGGTCTCCTCCACTGACCGCTCACCGTAAGTCAGGACCATGAAAAACACCGTGTCCTGCAGGTCTGTCCTCATGTAGATGATTCTTTGGATGTCTGACTAATGTTTGTAATGAATTTTACGCAGGACTTCCTTGAAAACCTCAAGTTCCCAGTAACTCAGACCAGCCAGGGTTTCCAAAATCAGCTCAATAACAGACGCCAACGTTTCTACCTGAGAAAAAAAAGGTAAATGCGACTTTTCTCCAGTTTTTTTTTTCATCTCATCAACGTCTCATAAATGTTTAGATTACACCAGACACAGTTACAAGCAAATGATGTAAGTGATAATTACACACCTGATTAACATTTATTCCAACCTGATGAATTTAATCTTTCTGTTTATCTTTTCTACATGTAGGAGTTTTTTAAACTGAACATGTTCAGTGAACGCTGCATCATTTAAATACAGTCATAGGTGATATTACTCACTTTCTGGCTCAGCGCAGCCCAGCATTCATCCACAAAGTTTCTCTGGGAGAAATATTACAATATCATGGTTACCATGAGAAAAGAAAGTGTAGTATCCCCACAGCAGACTCGTCCACAGTTTAATGCTTTTCAGCACAATCTTTATTCATACTTACACTCGGTTGCTGTTACAAACACACACAGCTGCAGCTTTTCAGCCGCCACAACAACAACTCTCAGGATCAGGTACAGATTTTAAAGGCGATGCTGGCAAAGTTAGAAAGGTGCCGGCTGTGAACAACACCTCATCTATCTATTACTTCATTTGCTCTCTTTAGGCTCCACAATGATTGTCTGTCTAGTGTCTGTCGTCCACCTTAAATCCATTCATAACTTATTTAACGTCAGGGTTAATGATCAGAAAACAATTAAGTGTGTAAGGAAAGAATTTAGTCGTTTGTAATCTTAATATTAATGTCTGTGTTTTATTTAACAATATCTATTATTAAACACTTCAGTGAAGAAAATCCTCCTGCCTTCTTTCAGGAAGACAAAAAAGCTTCCATTGTTCAGTTTTTGTGACTTGGTTCAAAGATTTTGAATCAACTCTTGATAAATTTTTTTATTAGGGATAATTATTCTCTTACCTTTGAGTCCTGAGCTGCTCTCTGACAGCCTCTGCACCAGATCAGTTCTCTGCATGTCCCTGAAAACATCAATGGTTACCTCCACAGACTGTTGGCCACATGTTTGCACCATCGCGTTCACTATATGTTTTCTGTTTGTACTCGGTGGGAATTGTGGAAGGCCCCTCTGAAAACATGTGAACTGCAGGAACCACATGAACTCCTTGAGACCCTGATCACTCAAATCCTCCCGTGTTTCTAGAAGCAGATCTTTAACAGCTGCCATTGTTGCAACCTGGAAAATTCAAACATTCATGAAGAAAAATTAAATATTAATGTTTCTGTTGCTGTTTTAAATATTAAAACTAATTAAAGACATTTAAATCATGTTTTCTCTAAAAACTTAAAGATAAAAAGGCCAACATTTATAAAGAAAATATATCATTTCCACACCAAGACATTTTTTGGCATTTCTATGATAATGTATGATTTTTCTGATGATCACCTAAAACACAGATACATTTAGTAACGAGGGCCTGAGCATTCACAGTGTGAAGACCTTGTTGTGTATTCACTATTATTATTATTGTCTGTGAAGGTTCTCAGTCATCCAGGTCATCGTAGCCCAGTGGTTCCCCCCCTTTGTTTTACAAAATAAATGCGGTTTATTTCACACCTCAAACATTTAGTAAACAATTAAGCAAATACAAATAATCTGCAATAAATTACAGGTAGTAATAAAATAAACTACTTTCTTTTACGCTACGTCCACACCTACACGGGTATTTTTGACAACGCAGCTGTTTCATCCACACGTAAACGGCGTTTTGAATAACTGAAAACGGAGATTCTTTAAAACTCCTTTTACGTGTGGACGAGGAATACAGAGTTGGTCACGCAACGTCAAAGGTATGTGCCTTTTTTCACGTCAGCTGTGGCCACGTTATTGTTTACATGAGATGAATTGCAGAATGGCAGATAGAGACACAATACTGTTAATCTGACTGTCTGCAGGTTTTACACAGTTACTGTCCCTCCATTTACAAAGGCAGAGGCGTCACATGTGATTATTTTACATGTAGTTGTTTTTCTTCCTGTGTAATAATATTCAACATTGCTGTCAATACATTTTTCAAAAAATGCCTCTCTGTGCAAAATAGGTTTAAAAACATAAACAGCTGTGGGATCCTGTTTGTCCGTGATTTGAACAGCCCAGCGCTGCTCCCCATAGCTGGACTGGCCATCGGGCATACCGGGAATTTGCCCGGTGGGCCGCTGGCGATTTTTTGTTTTCATGGGCCGATGGATTTTTTTTTTTTTTTTAGGAAGGGTATAGGGCTTTGGAGTTGACGTCACGCCGCAATGCATTGTGGGAGCGCGGCACCATTTTCGGGGTCTACGAATCAAATCAAACACACTGTGTTGGAACAACGATTACAAGATGCTTAAAAGCAGCTCAAACGAGAATGGACTGTATAGAGACCGATTGCGTCCAGAGGCGAAGCGGCGGTACTTGCAGAAAATAGCGTGCATTGGAAATGTGGACCCGTATGAAATACGGCCGTGGAATAGAAACCCTGAAGACCAACCGCTATTGACGTAGCCTGACATATTTCATACCTTATCTGTGGAGTCAGCGCGTACAAGTCGTCATTCAATCAAAGGTAAGTCAGCTCGAGTACTGCGAGTGAAATGCGTTTGATTTCCCTGCAAACATTCAGATTAGTGCAGCATAAATTCATTCATGAGGGGAAATGACAGTGAGAACATGTGGAGGCTGTTAGGTGGATAACATAGTGAGTTCAGTGCATTGATGTGACATTGTCCTGAAGGATTTAGTTATTCTCTATGGTTAAAGAAATTGCACTAATTTATTAATGTTTATTATAAATAATTCTAATTATACATCTTGCTTCCATATTTGTATCCTGTGTCACTAAAAATACATTTTATTGTAGTTTTATACTTTGATTAATGACCTGCAGAATCTCCTTATCATATTAAGTGATTCATAATTGTCACTTTATGCTTTCTCCATCTCTAAAGTGATGACATCCTTGCATTACATGCTTTAGGTTCATTTTCTGCAGGCAGGTTTCTGACAGAACAGACAGATTTAGACTATAACCTGCAGCGTTCTATAGATGGACACATAAAGAAATGCATAATTACATGTATGTGCTAACTTTCTAGACACTTTGTTACATTTATGATAAAGTAGATAAAACACATTTGTGTCGGCCTTGGCTCATAGTTCTTGTCTTTAAATGAACTTTGTCTGTGTGTGTTTCAGGTCCTGCACTCTCAAAGACTGAATGAACCAGCATTGCAGCCATGGGTCACTGAGAGCATCACAGGGAAGGTTGAAGCCGCCCGCTGCACCTGTATGGCCGGAGTCGCAGAGACCTGCACCCACGTCGCTGCTCTTCTGTCTAAAGTAGACGGAACAGTGTTGATCCGTGGCACAAGGACTGTTACAGATGAACCTGCATACTGGGTTTTGCCTGGTAATATGACCAAGATACAGCCAGAGGTTGGCCATAAGATAGACGACTTCTCTTCAGCTGCCCAAAAAAAGGCTCTTGATCAAAACATAAACAGACCATCTGTAGTGACGGGGAAAAGGAGCCTCAAAACAGAAAAATCCCACCTGCTACTGTGGAGCAGTTGTCACTGCTATAATGCCATGTTTTATCTAGGGGTCTAGATGTATGCCTGTAGTGCACTGCTGTGTAAATAATTTGCATTTACTGAATATGTACTGACTGAGTCCCGCTGTTCAAAAGTTGAATAAAGAAACAAAATAATTTTGCCTTTTTTTTTTATTAAAACCACTTTATAGAACATCACATCAGTAACAGTGTAGAATCCATATCATTTACAGTTTACAAATGACAAAATGTTTACACCAAATCATGAGTGTTTACATGATATCACCCACTACTAACATTACTTTATTTACTGTATCTTTTGAAAAAAATAACAGCACAAGACTTAAGAATATTTAACAGGAGCAGGTTTCATTTTTCCCTGGTTTTATTATCACACTGTTCACCAAACGCAGCAAACCTTCACCATCTTATCCAGAAGGGTCACCTCTTCACCCTCACATGGAAGAAGTAATCTGATTGGCATGGTGGTATGTTTGAAGCAGGTCCCTTGTGTAGCGCTGGAACTCAGTCATGATGTTTCATCCATTTCATCGGCTGGTTTGCTGCAATAATGGCAAATAATTAGCAACTCTATAAATAGAAGGTAGTTCTGCAAAATCACTCAGTAGGATGTTTGTTCTAATTTGCTACGACCTCAGAGCGCATCGAAAATGAAACTAATAGGCTATAAAGAGTGATATGAACATATAGAACTTACCGGAATGAAAATGTCTGGAGCACCAACAGATATTTGGAGATGGAAGAGAACTGCACGTCAGCTCGTCTCACAGCTGCTATCCAGGCTGGACGCCTTCGTTTGCTAACATCGATACACGAGCTGCTTCCAGGTTGGGAAAGAATGAAAAGATAAACCATTTTCAACCTTATTCTCTTGCCGGTCGTGCGATCGAACATTGCAGCCGACCACACAGCAAATACGAACCGTGGCTGTTGTGTGTGCTCCCTTTTCACTTGCGCTAGACCCCCAAAATGGCGGATCGGGCCAAAATCCTTTCCACGCCCACCCCCGTGACATCACGCTCCAAAGCCCTATATATAACGAAAGGTGTTGGATTGGCCAATTGGTCATGATCGACTCTGGGCTGGACCAATTACAGCCGAGGAGGCCGGATGCACCCTCCCCCTTGTTTAGCAATCACGTGATTTTCGCGCTTTGCATGCCGGGAACTAGTGGCAAAACAATCCAAGTACCGCATCAAATGCAAGAATTTGCAGCACCGCAAAACGTTCATTCTCCGGTTCCAATACCTTCTTGTTTTTTCTTTGCCGCACAAAAAAGGAATGTACAAAACAAAAGGAGAACAATGCCGGTCCGTACAAAGACAGACTTGACGAAAAGACAAAGAAAAGATACGAGGAAAAATCAGAGTGATCCTTACAGCACACAGAGTGGACAAAAGACGTTAACGTGCTGCCCAACTTTCAC